TTTTTTTTTTTTTTTTTTTTTTTTTTTTTTTTTTTTTTTTTTTTTTTTTTTTTTTTTTTTTTTTTTTGGATTTCCTCATTTTTACTTTCTGACTACTCTCATCCCTGATTATTAGCTGTATGCTGGCCAGGTGACCGAGCGGTTAGCGTGCCCGACTGCGAAGCCAATGGCTGCAGGTTCGAATCCCGCTCTGGGCATGGATGTTTATCTCCATTTGTTTGCTCTGCTGTGTGTGATGTGTGAAAGTGGTCCACCCTATGAATGGGCATTTGTAGCAGTGTGGCGTGGGTAATGTTGCCTGCCTCCGTGACTTAGGTTCACAGGTGCCCACTGGGTAACATTAAATGAGTAACACTTCCGGCATCCTCAGAGTTGAAGAACGAAAGTTCAATACCTGCCGTTAGGGAGAATATTATTAGATATACATAACTTATCTAAACTTATCTCTAGCTAATAATAGCAATAAAAAGTAAATAAGTTTAACTAATTTAAACATAATTTTTTCTCCTGATTTCTAATGATGGATTTCATTATACAGGAGTCTGAAAAGTGTAGAAAGGAAAATGAAGAAATGGAACAACGTCTTTCTTCATTGATATGGATAGGTACAAGTACTCATACTAATAGTAAAGTCAACGTAATTGATGCACGGAATCCTGCAGATGTTTTGAGTAGCTTTTTTGTATGCTCTTCACATCTCTTAAGCATTACCAGTGTACCAGGTACATGTATTTTTATTCATTTTTTACTTATAATATTATTACTTATATAATATTACTTATAATACATTATCTTATAATATTTGTAACATTTATGAGAAGACAAAGTTTATGTCCTTGAATTGTGCTCAGTTATTTTGTTTTTTAAATATATTTGTTTCCTACCCCTTTTTAATTATATGTTTAAATTGCCAACTATGGTTATAGGTAAGCACTGTGCTGAAGAAAATTCTTTTGCCAAAAGTTTGTTTAGGTAAACATAAATTATGAGGGATTTTGCAATTTTTATTGAGCAACGTAATTTAAGTGCAGTACAGTGCAGTGATGTCACTGATTGTAGTAACTACTTAAAAAAGTTCAATGAGGCACAGGGAATATTGATCAGCTAATTTTTGATATAGACCTTTATTGTGAAATTAAATCTGAGATTGCTGTTATACCCGACTAGTGTTTTATGTTGTGTTCATTTATTTTAACCTTTATTGTAAAAAATAATACTAAATTATTTGTTTTGTGTGTTCCACAGTATAATTTCTACAACTGATAAACAGAAAATAATTTTTTGCTTAAAACGTTTTTGCGGCTATTTGTTATTTTTAATTTTTTTAAAACTACAATTAGTTAGAGTCAGTTTATTATTTTTTATTTTTTTATTCTTAACTTTTAAATAAATTATTTAGCAGATTCCCTGACAATGCTGCAGATGTAACTTAAAAATCTGCTTTCATTTCTTTATGATCACTATAGATTTTTTGATGAAAGAAAACATCTTATCACAATAGTGTTTCACTTATGTTGATTGATTTTGGTCATAGCATTATTTATTCTTAAAACTAAAGTAATATCAATCAACTTTACAGTTAATTATCTAGTTGCACTAAAATTTATTTATGACATTAAGGTGCCTGTGAAACTGACTATCCGGTTGAAGAAGAATTCCTAAAGTTAGGCGTTGAAGCAGAGAAAACTGAAGCCCCTGATGATAGTAAATCAAGTGACAGCACAAATAGCATTGGAAACATAACTTTTGTTAGTTGTTCTACTGGTCCGTCATCTAGTCCTCCTTCTCCAACTAATGAAGATAAAGGTATGAATTTAATAAGATATAAAAAAACATCATTGCACAATAAGTTTGATTAAAAGAAAAAACTCAGTATGAAATTTTAATTGTTTATAACATAGTCTCCCGATATAATGACAACTCTGGCCTACTTAAAATGAACATTATAATGTGAGGTAGCTTTATGGTGAGGATACAGAGATAAAGTGAATATTTTAGTGATAAATAGTAAATGCTGGAATAATTTTAGACTAAACCATACTATATTTCGCAAAAAAATCTGGAAACTGACTAAATAATTGATAGTAGGATAACATGTTAAATATAATACATAGGCAATCATTTCAATAAGTAAAGTATGCTTAAACAACTGCATAATCATAACAAAGTCAAGAAAAAATTTGAATACATGCTTTTAATTGCTTCCTACCTTTTAAAAAGAAGTTTACAAAGATAGAGAATAGATCCTTTTAAACCTAAAAATTACATATGTGTTGTGATGATTTTCGTTTAATAGAAAATAATGTTATGAATATAGAACAGCAAATGGGACAACTGTATATATACGTTGTTATAAGGTAAGGGTTTGCTGTAATTGGGAGAGAGGCTTATAACAAAGAGCATAGACTGTATATCATGTATTATTAAGTTTGATTTGCTTCATATTACGGTTGTGTAGGGTTATATTTATTTACAGAATAGTGAAAGATCATAAAGCTTATACTTGAGGTTTAAATTTTTATTTATCTATCCATAAAAATTTATTACATTATGCTGACAAATATAGTTTAGGAACAACATGTAAGACCTATTTGTTGTTTGTGATCTTAAAACAACCCTCTCTTTTTCAGTTTACTTGAAGACCTTTTTTCAGAATTTATCATCAAGAGCTATGTGCTAGCAAGATAACATATTGTCACAAATTGCTTGCTTTAAAGATTAGGCTTCTTTAATTTCAGTGCACAAGCTTTTAAATTTCCTTTTCAAATAAGTGTTTCCAGTAGTGATGTCAAATATGCCAAATATTAAGGCAACTGCTCGAATCTTAGGTAATTCTTTTATAATTATGGAAATGCTTTTTGGAGCAAAACAACCTCTGAAAGCTCAAAAGTTTGTTTTTTCAGCAAAGGATTCGTTAAACTGAAGAAAGGAAACAAATTACTAATAAATAGCAATGATATGTTCTTAAAAGTCTTAAAAAATGTTTAATTCAGTAATAAATTATGTTCTTGGACCTTGCTTTAGTAAAATTAATTTTGTTAATTTTCAGTGACTACTGATGTTCTATTGATTGACTGCAATTATAATTATGTCAAACTATGCTTGTGCTTTTCTCTTTGCTACAAATTTATTTTATTTCTTACCCTTCTCTTAAAGTTTTTTGTTAATAAAGTTACTTACTATCATAACTGCTAAACTCAGGTTAATAAGTATCCTTATGTGTATAATGTTTATTACATTAGTATGTAACAAGGGTAAGGAATAAAACAAATTTATTCCCAAAAATGTTTTACTGGAGGTTGCAAATGAAAATATTATAACAGCAAAATTATTTTGACACACTCAAATATATTTTACTAAATTGTATTTTAATTTTTAACTATTAATTTACAATTACAATTGTTTGAATTATTATGTTTGGAATTTTTGATTATTAATAAGATTGATATATTTTAGAAACCGAGCCAGTTCTTTTTCGGCAGTCTGCTCCTTCTACTGATGGTAATTATTTTTTTCATTTTGCTTCAAAAGTGTAGCTTTGTTTACTGATAGGTTTTCTGTAAAGAAAAGAAAAAAGAAATTGGACTGAAAGAAATTATCTAAACTGATTCTACTGATTCTTGAAAATATTCAAGACTGAAGGAGTTTCTGTTATTGAAGGAGTTTTCAGATAACCGGAAAGTTTTTAGTTATACCAAAAGATGAAAAAAGAGATACTCAAGAAAAAAGTTTTTATTTATTTATTAAAGTACTATGATGTTATTGTTCTATGTTTTATTTAATTCTTATTTTTTTTAAAATTCATTTTTACTTTATATTTGTTAATGCATATTTTTCCACTTTTGTTTTTATGTTTAAAACTTGAGTTCCCAATTACTCATTTCTTTTAATTTCTATGGCTATCAGTGCTTATTATAAATTGCTTAAAACTTTTAAGCACTACTCTTGAGTCTGATATCCTAAATTTTATTTTCTGGTACAATTTTTAAAATTTTTTTTTGAATGACCTTTTAGTGTTGTAGCTCTTTTCACAGTTCAGAAACAAAATCTCAATTCTCTGTGCAGGATTGCAAAAACAACTTATTTAGGGTAATTTATTACAGATAAGTTTCTACCCAATTGCACTATACTCAACAAAAAAAAGAAGATAACCTCACCCAATATCAAAGATAACTCCTTTAAGATGCTCAAAATATTGGAATAAAATTAAATAAATAAAAACTGCAATTGAAGCAATCAACAATTTTTAATAATTTTAAAAATTTATTTTACTTTTTCCTATTCTGCATTATTTTTGTTATTCTATTTAAAAAGAAAAGAACATTTTTATACAGGCTAAATTAAATTGAAATAAATTTACTGAGCTAAGCCTGCAAAAGTGCAAAGGGAAAATATTTTCTAAATGTTATTTTTCCACAAATTTTGTTTAAGGCTGCACTCGACTTGTAGGCAGTTTTTCATGCTCACTTCATAATCATTAAACAGTAAACCAACTGTATGTTATTTTATTATTAATACATTTCTCTACTTTTGTAATTTCACATCATTTTTCTACATGAAAAACTTGTGACGTAAAAATTGTGTATGTTCATATCACTGACCTCGTAATTTTTTTGTAGAAAAAAATACCAATAGTCTTGAAAATGGACCAGAGCCAAGCAGGCAGCAACAATGGATTGTAATGAAAGACCCTCCTGAAATAATTAAAGATGGTATATCAGAGTTGTCAAAAGATAATCCATTAGCTTATGAGCATATTGAAAAAATGTCTAGTGTTTTACCTACAATGTGGATGGGTGCACAAAATGGAAGGTAAGATCAACTTAAGTATCTCTAATTTTGTACATTCTTTTGCATTATGTAGCTTGTCTATGGTAAGAACTCCTCCCACCACAAAGTCTGAGGCCATCTGCTGTTACGGAAACATGAATAGCACATTTCAAGGAGGGTAGCTTCTCTTCACTCTAGAACTAACACAATAGACCGAAGATAACGATTTCCTTTCTCCCGCCGACCTAATCAATGACCCCACACCCCTACTTGAAATAGTTATAGCTAGTTACCATAGTCACCGCCGTGGGTCCAGACGAATGACTAAGGGAGTTCTTATTTGAGACAGACTATACTTGTATCAGAATCTAAATAGTATTTATTCAGATGTGAAATAATGTTTTGCGAATCATTTTTCTTTCTTCATTTTATTACTCTTCTCCATAAAATATTGAAAGTTATACAGACAAATTTAAATATCGAGGGAACATTTGAAATCTCTATTAATTTACTATGCAGTTGAACCCAGTTATAGTGAACTGCCTATGGACCCAGTAATATGCTTATTGTGAATGGAATGATGATTTACTATATCCCGATTCCTTGAAATATTCTTTTTGCAATACTATTGATAGTGAAATAGTGATTGCATTATCACATAATATGTTTGCAAATTTTAAATTAAATAGATTTTAAGTCAAAAATGAAAAATAAGAATTCATATTTAACTGAAAATTGATTTTAGTTTTACATTCTTTTTATGAAATTAGCAATTTTGAATGCAATTTGTTTCTAAGTAGATTTCATCGATTTTCTAATCAACAATCAGTTAAGAGTCTGGAATTTTTCAATCTACATTTTCTGCCTGAAGAAAAATTCAGAATGTTCTCTGCTGATGTTAATTTTGATGTATATAGGATTGAAATTTTGAGTTCTACTTCCATATTTTCTTTAAAATCTGATTATGCAGCATCATTCTTTTTTTAAACTTTGCATACAAAACAAGAATGCCTTACACAATGCCAATTGATTGACATAATCTTTTATATTTTAGATAATTTTAATCTTATACTCATTCAAAAAGGCTTTTCTTTTTACAGAATTTGTCATTTTCATTCCTTTTTGGAAAAAATTGACTGCTTGTCCCAAATCAATATGTAAGAATATGTAGAGAGAAACTCTAAAATGAGTTAAATTCTTTGAAAGCTCCCTTTCTCAATTTTCTAGGAGTGATTTGCAAAGAACAGAAGTTTGGTACCCATTTTTTTCGACTATGGAATTCCAAATGATCAAGCTTCTTTTGGTGGAAATTCCTGCGTTATTTAAAAAAAGTTAATTTACAGTTGCGGATATACTAACCAAGAAAAGAAAGGCTGCTAAATATTTTGAGACTATTTAATGTGTAGAATGAATTTAATATCATGCATTTTTTCTTGGTGTATGCATATGCTGAAAATGAGCTGAATTATGATTTTTAAAAAGAACTGTTCGAAACGATAAGAATAGTTATCAGAAGCACGTTTTTCTTCATTCTTAAATTTAGTTATTTTATTTTGAATAGAAAATCTCGAGAAATACTTTTAAAATTTTTATAAATGCAAATTCTTTTCTTAATATGTTCAATATATTTTCATTAAAAAAATATCTGTATTTTAAATTTTGCTGATTTTTTTCATCTACTTAAAGAAGATCATGTAAGCAAGCTAAATATTAAATAAATTATAATTCAGTGTGTATAAATATTATTATTACTGGTTAAAAATATTGTAACTCCCTGTCTGCCTCCTGTGGAGCCCTAGCATCTTCCTTATATTAGCATATTGTATTATATTCCGAAAAATAATAATTGCAAAATGATTAATAAATTCAAGCAAGTTAAGCTTAATGTAGCATAATTAGGTAATAGCATACAAGTATGTTATAATAAAGTAAAAACTATCTTAGGTTTTTGGGATATTTATGACTTTCATTAATTTTGTGACAACCAAAAAAATATAGAAATTAATGAGCGGATGTGATGTACAAATAAAAATGTATCAACAACAATGGAAAACTGCAACTCTATCATTAGTTAAATGTTTTATATGTTGTTAGTTGTTAAATATATATTTACAAAAAGTAATTGCACTCGGTAATTGAAAGGAAAAAAGAGAGTAAGAAACAAACCTGCTCCTGCTAACTATTTTAGATAACTGCTTTAAATGCAAGTAATTTGTAGTAAATTAATTGTAATTGATTAATTTGATAATATTGTTTTTGAAGTAAAAACTTGCTGTGTAACTTTAAAAATGTATACACAGAGGAAACTACTAGCTAAAGTGAAACTACTATACACAGAGGAAACTACTAGCTACTATTTATTATGATTTTTACTATCNCAACAACAATGGAAAACTGCAACTCTATCATTAGTTAAATGTTTTATATGTTGTTAGTTGTTAAATATATATTTACAAAAAGTAATTGCACTCGGTAATTGAAAGGAAAAAAGAGAGTAAGAAACAAACCTGCTCCTGCTAACTATTTTAGATAACTGCTTTAAATGCAAGAAATTTGTAGTAAATTAATTGTAATTGATTAATTTGATAATATTGTTTTTGAAGTAAGGACTTGCTGTGTAACTTTAAAAATGTATACTCAGTGGAAACTACTAGCTAAAGTGAAACTACTATACACAGAGGAAACTACTAGCTACTATTCATTATAATTTTTACTATCCTAAATTTTTTAGTACTTTCCTTTATGTTCCACAATTTTCAAGTACATATTATTCAATTTCTTGTTTTTGTTTTCATTACACTCAATTTTTATTGCATTGATTATTATTATTATTATTTTTTTTTTATTGTGAAATTTAATAAATATTTCGAAAATATCTTAATTATTGCATAATTTTCTATGTTAGGTTAATAATATTTTCTTCCATGATTTAAAATTTTTTTTTCAAGATAAGTTATTTTTATTCAGAATTATTAAATTAATTTTGCTATGTTTCATGAAAGTTCAAGTTTTATGGTAATTTTTCATTTTCAGTATATATGTTCATTCATCTGTTGCTCAGTGGTGGAGATGCATTCACACTGTGAAATTAAAAGATGCTGTATTGAACATAGTGTAAGTTTTTTTTTATATGCATATTTCTTATTATTATTTAGTTAAAGTAAGTACTTTTTAAATGTAAACTAACTAATAGTCTTTATACAGGTTTCGTAGTTGTTCTGATATTCTTGATTTTCCTGATGAAAAATAGTTTGTCCTGATATTCCTGGTTTTAGTATGTGTTAATTTCTTAAGCATACAAACGAAAAAAAATAAATAAATAATATATATATTCGAAGAATTGAAAAATTTTAATTATCGATCCAACATCTTTTTATTTTATTTCATAATACCAATAGAAATCACAAAATTCGAAAATGCAATAGTTCAAATTAAGGGACCGTCCTGCTAATTATATATGTTTCAGGCATATCACCTTAAACATGGGATTCACTGTTAAAACACTTTCAGAAATTCAATTATTATATGAAAAGAAACTCAATAATTTTATATTATCCTTTTATGGTGATGAATTTGGGGATCATTAGCTTATTTATTTTTTTTAAAAAATGTAGCAACAATTCTTGAATAATGATTTTGTAGTTACACAGTTTATGATTTGTCTCTTTTAAGTGATTTTTAAAAATTATTGATTTTAATCAACAATAGTTGATTGGAATTGATAATTCATACAATTATCATGTCTTAGAATTTTTAAATGAGGAATTGAGGGATGGGATCATCTGCTAAAATTATTTTTGTGCAAAAGTGTTAGGTGGAATATTCATTGCATTTTCATATCAAGATTATTGAAACTCTTTAAAATTATTTGATTAAGGAAATCCTGAACTCAGTTACAAATTTTAACTATATATCGGTATGAGAGAATATTATTTAATTGTTTTGTATAAATTTTTTCAAATTATTTTGACTTGTTCAGTATTGATAAAATTATACTGGAAACTGTTAAATCTTTCTCTTCTAAACAAAGTAATTCTAAAATTAAAAATAATATATTTTATTATTCTTTTGTGGTGAAATTTGCTTTTATTCCGCTTAAGTTAAGCTAACTATACTCTTTTTAGTTTGTTGTTTACTTTTTAATAGTCTGGTTTATGTATACTTCTCCAAAAAATGACCTGATTTTAATTTTTGGCTTATTATGAAACCTGCTTTATATTGTACTTTTTTATCATGATTTTGTATTATATGAATTATGTAATGAATTTATTCATTAGTGATTTAAAATCTATAAATATATATCATCATTGTATATTATGTGATTGAAGCACACTAAACAATATTTTAAATTTTTACTTACATTTAACAATCTAAATTAAATATATCTAGTTCAAAATACGTTTCCCCCTTAGTGTTTTCTTTGTTTACTTTTCAAACTTAATTTTAATAAAAAATTTGATTGCTGAAGTTCTGTGTGCATTCAGTTCTAAAAAAAAAAAAAAAATTTAAAACTATTAAAAATGTTTTTCTTAGAAAAATACATGATACTAATGATAGTCTTAAAATATTATGAATAGTTTTTTTATAATAAGGAGCTGACTAAATATTACAAAAGCACCCAGGATGAGAAGAACTTTTAGCTTTGCTTACTTTTATTTATAATTAATGAGTTAAGTCTATGCTTTTACATATTCTGAAAATTCTTGTGCTTAAATTTATACTATTTCTTATTTAATTATCTATTGAAAAAGGTACAGGTATTATTTAAAGTTTTTATGAACTTCAAGTTGTAGCTTACTTATTATCAAGAATCAAGTGAATTTACGAGAATAAACAAAACAATTCTAAAATTTAATACTTTGTTACATTATGACATTCATATTTTTAAATTTTAAATATTTATGCTTAAACATCAATTATAAATTTTGTTAATTAGACATAAAGTAATCAGAGTTGCTGCATCTATTTCATTAATAAATTTCATTATTTACTTCATTTTAATTGAGTGACAAATTTGCTAGTTAAACATGTAAAAATTAAGTGGTTAGACGAAAAAAATTAATTAGCTACATTTTTTTATAAGAATTGTATTTGAAGTTTAATTCTAAACCAAACCTATGATATTGGTTACTCTAACTTGAACTATTTGACAGTTAAAAAATATGAAATTAAGGTGAATTTTAAAAAAAATGTAAGGGTAGCAGAGTGACCTAATTAGTTCATATTTTATTATAAGAAAGGGTAAAGAGTTGAAACATGCTTGCCTAATACTTGAATTGCTCTTATGTCAGCGAAAATGAAATAAATGTAACACTAAAATATTATGTATACTTTTCAGACATATTAAAGGAAGAGTTCTTGCAGCTATGGCAAATGGAACTGTAGCAATTTTTCATAGAGGTGAAGGTAAGAGTAAATTTGTTTATTAATGCAAGAAACTTTTATGTGAAATTATAAATTTGTAGTACAACTATTAAATTAATTTATTCTTGTTTTAAATTACATGTTTTTTTTAGATAATCAATGGGAGTTGAATAATTACCATCTGCTTGACCTTGGATATCCTCACTACTCTATTCGATGTATGATAGTAGTTCACAATAAAGTGTGGTGTGGTTATCGAAATTCCATTCATGTACTTTGTCCGAAGACTTTATCAATAGAGGTAAAAAAATTATTACAAAGAAACAGAAATCATATTATCTTGATGCAAGTAATATTATATTCATTACCATAACATCAAAAGTTTAAGATTTCTTATGCTTTAAGATGTCTTATGCTTTTTATATTTCATCTTCTTATCACATATCTTGTCTTACTAAATGTTTTGTTCAAAATAAGTGGAGAGAATTAATAAATATTTATTATAACCCAATTGATCATCTTAAAAAAATTATTGCTGTTATATATTTATGAATATTTTTTATTTAACATTTCTATATATTGAACCCTTTTTATTTTTAATTGCAATTGATCATCCTTAAAAAATAATAGTTATTATGAATTTATGTAAATTTTTTTATATTTAACAGCAGTATCACTTTTCCGTCCCATCCTTTTTAGAAAAATTCCAATAATCGGGCATGCATATTATTACTGACTCTAATATTCATAGCACATATTTTCTTAATTATACATCCATTATTTACTTACAGTTTTTAAATCTAAATCATAATTTTTAATTCTAAATCATAAATAAATGTAGAATGGAAAATACTAAAGAAAGCATGATGAAAGCTTAAAAAATTTTCATATTTTTAGCAAATTAATTATTGTAATTTGCATTCACACTGTCGCTTGAAACAGTTTAATTTATGTATGTATTTAACCGACAAAATTATATGTTTATTTTGTATTAGAATTTTTTGGTATACTTAAATTAATTTTTTAAACATATGTTTTATTTACTTGACTCTAATATAAATGTTATTGGAACAGAAAACATTTGATGCTCATCCTCGCAAAGAGAGTCAAGTGAGGCAACTAGCATGGGTTGGAGATGGAGTTTGGCTCTCCATCCGTCTTGACAGTACACTACGCCTTTATCATGCTCACACATATCAGCATCTTCAAGATGTGGATATAGAGCCTTTCATATCAAAAATTCTTGGTAAGAGAGCCTACTCTTAAAATTCCGTGATTAAACTAATTATATTGTCTAAAGTTAATTTTTTTATGTAATGAAATTCTTATCCTTTTATATTTATTTGTAGTTTTCTATTGTAGTTGATCATAATTATATGTTTTGATCTCATCAAATGAAATAAATAGAATTACCACAGCTACAAATCGTAGTTTTGATAAAGAATTACTAAAAACTTTTCATAATTGGAGAAAAGTCAGGTTTATAACGGCATCTTATTTTATAGTACCTATAATCCTTTATTTATTTTATTATTATTTTGCTTATTTTACATTTAATGAGATAAATATAGAAATGGAACATCTAAAGCTTGCTATGATTTTTCTCCAATCACAAAGAAGTTTTGCTAATTGGAGAAAAATCCAATTTATAGTAGCATCTTATTTCCTATGATCTTTAATCCTTTATTTTTCATTCATGTAATTAATTTTACTATTTTTAGAAAAAAATCTTTTTTTTATATATGGCTAAATGCAGTATTTTAAAAACTTTTACCAACAACTTAAACATTTCTAAACTTAATGCAATTTATCACTTGAAAATAGCTCATGAAATATCAATTAATTGTTCAATTTCATATTATAAAATTTATAAGAAAATTATCTCCATTGTAACTATTAAAAAACAGCTTCTTAACAATTATAAAGCTTTGCTATAAACTGGTATCCATATAAATATGCAGTTATAATTTTTTGATTTTCTTCTAACTTTCCTTCGTAGGAATGATTAACAGGGTGCATAGCGTTTTTAAAAGTGCTTATAGCTGCTTATTTTCAATTTTCGTTTTTTAAGAGCCCTTAAAGGTGCTTTTTTCATTGAATGTTTTTAAGGAGTGCTTAATTTTCCATTTTTCAAAATCAGATTTTTCCTTTACTATGTTGATTTTCATTTCGAATTATGCAAAAAGATGCAGTTCACATTGTTCTATTCAACGTTTTCACAACTAATTCAACACCAATCTATTTCGGCTTATTGTCAATTCGTAGCGTATGAAAACGCCATTCGTTTTACACGATTCAAAATTTCATGATTTTTGACAATTGTCAAAAACAATGCCAAAAGGTTTTTTAAAATTTTTTTGACATGACGGCTAAAACAAGATAAAACCGTCAATTGTCAAAAGCTTTCCAACCCTGCATAATTAATGATATTTTTATAAGTGCTTAATAATATTTTTTGAGTGCTTGAAAAGTGCTTAAAAGCTGTTTATTTTTTGTTAAATAATTTGGCTACGCCACCTTGATTAATTTATTTAAGAGCTTTAGTTTTTTCTTTTGAGGCTGGGGAATTCTTTAAAATTCTGCCTTACCTTAGATTGTTTAGTATCTTATAGTTAGCAGTTAAATATCGTACTATAGAATCTTATCACATTAATGTCATTATGTTTTGTGTATGTAAAAAAATTTTGGGCAGCTTTTATATATATTGATATATTAATATTATTAAATACTTTTTATATATTTTTTTGATGTTAGTATTTTTTAATAATTTTTAGTTTTGTTTTTATACATTTGTATGTATATACAATTTTTTAAACAGAATTATTTCGATTAGTTGGTAACTTTAATCATTTTTATTTTAGATGTAATAGATTATCGAAGTAAGTATTAAAGATAGATTTTGTAATCCTATGCTGTCTTTCTAATTTTTTTTCATTATTATTTAACAAAAATTAAATTGTTTGGGCTATTTCATTTTCATGCATAAGATTAGTCTTAACATATACTTAAAGGGTAAATTTTTTTGTTTTGTTTTAAAATATACTCAGACTTTTTTTTTTTATAAATTATTTTTTTTTCCTAAACTGAATAAAATACAAAGCGTTAAAAGCTTTTGAAAATATTTTTCTAAGGAATATAATTAATACAATTTAGAAGAAATTTTTTAAGGCATTTAATAATTATAAAAAGTAATAACAAGCAAAATTTAATTAAATGTTTTATATTTCTGTACCATTAAAGATTATATGAGTTACACTTCATAAAGAAATATTAGTATAGTATAAAAATCTTGCAAAATTCATATGTGGCATCAATAGCTTTTGAGTTTTAAAGTATGAAAATTTTAAGCATGACATTTCATTTACAAGAAGAAAAAAAATCTTTTTCTTATACAAATGTACTTTGATAGCAAATACAGGCATCTAGTGCCTGCAATTTATACATTTGCATTGACATTTCTTGGCATTGCTTTTAAAAAGTTTGTTTATATTATAAATATTTTGTTACTTTAGAAATATTAAATTTTAGCATTATTTTTAATTTAAATGTAGTATTTTATTATTACTTTATAGTTTCCAAAATGGCTGTTTTTAATCATTTGATTTAAATTATTGGCTGCTTGTATATTTGTATTTAATATTTAATGTTGAATAAAAGTAAACTTTTCAATTATTGTTTTCCCAATAGTGTAATCAACATATTTAACTTAAAAATAAACTTTTTTTTTGTTTCTGTTTCAGGGACTGGAAAATTAGGCTTTTCTTTTGTAAGAATAACTGCTCTGGCAGTATCTTGCTCACGCCTTTGGATAGGTACTGGAAATGGAGTAATATTGTCTGTTCCTCTTCATGAACGTAAGATAAAAATATTTGCTTATATCTTGCTTTATAAAATAAATTTGTTTTGTTTATTGTTTTACTGGAAAAAATTTATTGCTCTAACGTAATCAATCGCTCTGAAAGCCCAGTTGTATATTTTAAAAGTTATACCACAACTTTTGATAATGCTTTATTTTAACAAGTGATTTAAAACTCAGAATTAATGAGCTTTGTAATCCTAAGACTTACTTTGTTTTCAAAATCATTTTTTAAAATATTTATGATTACATATAATGAAATAAAGTTTTCAAAATGAATAAAATTGTGAATAAACAAATAGTTAAGTAGAAACGTTATCTATAAAGTAAAATTATGTGAATAATAATGTTAGTTATTTGTAATATTATAATTAATATTCAAATTAATAGGTATGAAAAATAAAGGCTACATTTCCCTAAGATAGTGTATGTATTATTTTAACTATATATTATTAGTTATTTGCCTGTTGTATGATAAAAAAAAAGACTTGTGATTTGATTTTTTCCCCCAAAAGATTTTGGTAATCCTTCTCAAACTATAGGTTATGAATTTCTGACTTATTCTATGCTTTTAATATCAACTTTTAAAAAATCCATTTATATATATATATATAAAGATGCATCTAGCTAGTAGCTCAATGATAACTTGTCCTACAAAACTGACATAAAAAATTGAAAGTCTGTAAATCTGTTGTCATATCTGAATGTATAACAAAATCTGGCAAGCAGTTTCGGTATGGTTTTTGTGCATTAGCATTTGCATCATTTACATACGTACCTAATAGAAGTTGAATTGAATAATCTATTGATAATTTTGCATTTTATGAATATTTTTAGCAACTTCTAACAAATTGTCTAATTATATATATGTATGAAACAGGGTTGGGGTTTTGGACGTCCTAAACTGGTTTTGGACAGGACATGTGGGTTTTACTGTCCTAAACTGGGTAAAACTGTCCTAAACTGGGTAAAACTGTCCTAAACTGTCTAATACCTTGAACTTTTGTAAAAGGTAAAAATTCTATAGGTGTAACCATTGTACACATAATAACTACATGTATCAATGAATATTTGATATTTTTTATACAATTTACTATTAAAAGAAAATAATATAATATAATAGGAAAAGGTTTATAATTTTTGAAGCTCCACAATTCATTGAACAACAAAAGTGAATACCTAATCCTTTAAATATAAATATGCTTTTAATACTGATAAATAATATTTTTGCATAAGGATAAATATGGCAATATTAAAAAATAATAATTTTTCTTAAAAAAA